CAGGTCCTGCCTCTGTCTGCACTCTGCCTTGACCTCCCCATGTGGCCCCTTGAGGAATGCGTTATCCTTCCTCCAAGACCCGTAAGTAATAAACTTCTCTATTTCAGTTTGTCTTGTGATCTGTTGAGTCACAGCTCACCTTCTGTGCTCAACTTAATAAATATTCATGTAACAGTCCTGATGTGGGGATACATGGAGCACACATTCCCAGATCATTGCATTCACAGAGGGAAGTTGGACATAGTCATCTCATAATAGTCTGACTTCCACATGTTGAGACCTCACCTCTCCAGACGGCCTCCTATTCCACCTTCCTGACCCCAGGACCTTCTCCACATCAATCCTTGCCTGTGTGTCACTCCCCTCCCCACCACACAAACACTAGAGGGTAGCTCCGAGGGGCAGAGTGTGCCTGTCACGTTCACTAACAAGTCCCCAGCGTTTGGCAGGGTCCCAGACAAGTAATAAGTGCTCGGAAAACTTGAACAAGGAAGGAGACATGGACACAGTAGGAGTGTGAAGTTTGGGGCTTTGGGCTCAGATCTCAGTTATACTGCTTTACAGACCATGATCTGGTAGCAATTCCATCACCAACAAGGGAGAAGTAATCCCAACCACATGGGCCTTTGTGAGGATTGGGTTAAGTGAAGGACAGGAAGTCAGCCTTGCACCAAAGTGGGTGCTAACTACATGGTAGCAAATGTGATTTGAACCCACTAGGGTTCATGTGATTGGAAAGGCTGCCCAAATTCACCTGCCCCTGATTTCTTCAACTTTGCCATGGGTGAATGGCTGCAATGTAGGCTTAGCGTGAGGACTACATGGCAAGGCCCATGAGAAGAGAACATACATTTCTTTCTTTACCCGAGCACCCAAAGCAGTGCCTGACAGTTTTGGTAAATACTTTCTGGGTAAGTGAAGGGGTGAGTACGCGCGTGCACTGACAGATAGATAAGGAGCACAATTGGCGTGAAAGCATAGGTCAGGTGCCCAGTGCTGGGGAGGCCAATGTTTTTCCTGCGCCACCCACCGATTTGGCTGGAACTCCAGGACTTGCGGGTTATCGAGCCCTGGGGTGCAGACACTGAATACAAACCCCCAGGGACAGGTCCCAGGCATCTTCCTGATCAGCAACGCCCCTCCACACCATACGCCTGTCAAAGTTCAAGGACAGCAGACACAAAGACAAGTGTTCCTTCCCAGTGGAGAATGTCTGAGTTTCTTCTGGGGCAGGCAGCTTCCCCACTAGGGCAGCCATCAAAAGCACCCACAAAGCTCATTAAGCACAGTCCCGGGGCAACATGGCAACCATAGCTGTCCCCGGTTGCAATGCAGAGTGTTTAACCCAGAGTCAAAATCTTTGATCTCCAGAACCAATTCCACTGGCTCAAAAGGAAACTGAAACATATGGGTCAGTACACTATAAAGACCTGCCCAGGGGTCCTGTGACCAAGCACAAAGGCTGTCCCTAACCCTGGGTTTGGGGTGTGCAAAGGTGTATCATACACACACTACACATATACCCATACCTCCAGCCAACCATCTCCACACAACATTAAGACCTGGTGTTGCCAGAACTTCCAAGAGAAGCCAGAAAGCCATTGTTTTTACATGATATGTTCCAATTTAAAATTCTGGCTCAAGATCATGAAAAAGGAGACAAAGGTTGCTGATATGGGACTCCAAAACCTTAATTCCCCCTTAAAAAAATTTTTTCCCAGCTTTTAGGTAAAATTGACAAGTTGTAAGATGTTTGAAGTGTGCATCCTGATTTGATACACATGTACACTGTCAAAGAGTTCCCACCACCTCTTAACACATCCCTCACCTCTCCCGGTTACCTCTTCTTTGTTTGGGGGCTTGTTTTGTTTTGTTTGGTGAGAACTAAATTCTTTTGAGTCCATGCTAAAGAGAGGATTAGAAACTGAAGCCTTTAAACCCAAATTGGCCACCAGTGTTTTTAGGTTGGTTAAAGGTGGGCTTTATTTTTTTTAATTAGTTGCTAACATTTAAAAAAAAATGGAGTTTCCCATTTTAAAAAATCCTAATTCTGATCTCTCCTGGAAAATCAGGCCTGGCCAAGCCAGATCCACATTCCACAGGGCACATGCCAACTGAGCTGAGAGGCGGCTGCCCACTCTGGACTGGGGACAGGCTCTCTGGGGGACTGTCTTCCCAAAGCCCTTTCTCACTTCCGTCCCCTGCCTGGCCCCTACAAGAATCTTGGCCCCTACAAGAATCTAAGCTTGCAGCTCGCAGGTGAACCTTTTAGGAGACTAGGAGAATGGAAACACACTGGCCCCAGCATGACCTGAAGCTGAGACATCAAGCATGTGGTACAAGAGGCAAGAAAGGCAGTGTTGGCTGCAGGAAAGAAGGGGGTGGAGTGTTCCCTCCATGGGAGGAAAAAGCTGCTAAGGGCTGTGAGGTTTCTTTAATTCAGTGATTTTCAACAAGGGACGACTGTGCCCCACAACCAGAGGACCTCTGGCAATGTCTAGAGGTATGTTTCACTGACACAGGTAGGGGGAGCTACTGGCATCGATTGGGTGGAGCCCAGAGAGGCTGCTCAACACCCTACAGGGCACGAGACGGCCCCACCACAAAGCATGCCCCCCAAAAACAAAATGTCATCAGTGCCAAAGCTGAGAGGGCCTGATCCACTTGGTGCAGGGCATTAGTTCTCCACATGGGCAGAGCTACACCAGTGTTCACATCTGACAGAGCGTGTGCACACGGAACAGATGAGGGTGACATGAACGAGCACTTACATTGTCTTTTGGGACGAACAGACGTTGAACCAACGGCTTGAGATGCAGCCCTCAACCGCTGAGCCACCCAGATGCCCTGATGATAATATCAATATCGAAGGGACACATGTCTAAGTACATAGTCATGTTAGCTCACCAAGTTCGGCATTAAGTAAAAGGAGTGGAGTCTCAGAGCAAAGCGAGTAACGTTCCTAGGGAGAACCCAGATGTGAACCCTGGCTTCTGGACATTGCAGGAAGCTCCTTTCTAGGAAAGGTACTGTCAGTGAGTCTGCACCAGGCTTGGACAGATGCCCCCAGGTATCCCTTCCAGTGAGACAGTCAAGATCTTTGCAGAGGAACCGGAGGGTCAGAGTTCACTTGCCCAGGGTCACACGGCCTGTAGGTGACAGAGTGGACACTAACGTTTAATTTTTCTTGCCCTAGGTGTCAGCTCCTGCCCCACCTCCTGGGGTAGGGAACAGAAGAGGCAGGCCCAAGAGCATAATACCTACCCTAAACTGGTACAAGAAACTCAACTGCTGGGATGTCTGGGTGGCTCAGGGGTTGAGTGACTCAGAGTGTCACCCCTGAGTGGGGTGCTCAGGTAGTGATCCTGGGGTCCTGAGATTGAGTCCCGCTCAGGCTCCCCACAGGGAGCCTGCTTCTCCCTCTGCCTATGTCTCTGCCTCTCTGTCTCTCATGAATAAATAGATTAAATCTAAAAAAAAAAAAAAAAAAAAAAGGAAGGAAGGAAGGAAGAAACCCAACTGCTTACCTCCACCTGAGTGACGGGGCACCTGCCACCACTCGGGCTCCCACAGCTCCTTTCCCTCCCACCCCTGCCTCCCAAGGCACCCAAGGTTAGCACCTCACAGAGGGGACCCAAGAGCGTTAGGCAATGTTTTCTCAACTCTGCTTATGTATGTGCTCTCTGAACAAACAAGAGCTTCACACCTCTCCCTCTTAAAGTGATCTGAGATTTCAAACCAAATTGAACCACATTAACCAATTTCCAAGGAAACGCCACTTGAGAACATGCTCATCTGACCTGCAATCACAACCAAGAAGGTCTAAAGGATCCTCCCAGGAGGAAGGTTCCCACATCCATGACCTTGGTTTTGCATCCCTCATCCTCCAGATAAGGACCTGAGGCTGGGGTGGGGGGTGGAGGAGCATGACCTGCTCAAGGACAGGGGAGCACCTAGTGGCAGATTGAAGGCAGATTTCACACTGGAAATCTCGCTTCCTCCTTCAGCTCCCTGATGCTAATAAACTCTTTCCCCAGAGGTAAAAGGACAGAGTCCAGCCGTGGCCAAACAGCCAGGCCAAAAATACCCCTTGGTGGGGATCTTTCTTCCCCAGGAAACCCCCTGCAGCCTCTCACAAACCCAGGGACAGGGGCACCCAGGACTCTGGCCATGGGTCCCAGGAAACAGGAGCTGGCATTGGGGACCCTATCCTGATGGGCCACCTCCCAGCAGGTCTCACCTCACAAGACTGTTGCAATGATTCTGTCTAGTGTCTGTCAGTGCCTAGGGCGTGGGAAGCACCCCAAAACTGTCAAAATCCTGGTCTTCATCCACCCAGCCCTTCAGCCGGCTCCTGCACATGGACCCCCATAGGCAAGACAGTTACCCACCAGTCCCTCTTCCACCCCCCACAGTAGAGTTCTGTCACTGGGAAGTAGTGGCCTGGCCAGGGACATTTCCAGCCTCCTCTGCAGTGGGACATGACCCTGTGACGCCTCCCAGCCCACACACACACACACTCAATGAGATATGAGCAGGGGAAGACATGTGTCATCTCCAGACCAAGTTTTCCAAGAAGCTGGATGCAGGAAGGGGCTTCAGGTGCTGGTGGCAGAAGCCACAGTTGGAGTACCAGCACCTCATTTGCTGTGTAAGACCACCCACCATCCCAGGAATGCAGACAATGAGATTCCTCCTAAAAACAGCAGGAAGCAGGTCCTGCCCTGAGCCACCCCCAGTTCCTCACAAGCTGGTGGAACATTCCCAGTGTGGTGATCTTCTGTCTGGAAAGCCCACAGCCCACTGCAGGTGACCAAGTGGGGTCACTCTTTAGGACCACACCATCTACACCCTGGCGAGGGGCGGGAGGCTGCTCAGCCCCAAGCGGCTCTCCTGGGGCCCAGCCCAGGGCTGGTGTCCCCTCCAGGACTGCAGGGTGGGGGCCCTGCATTCTTGCTCTAGCCAATCTCCCTCCCAATTCAAGAAACACGCACAGCAGAGATAGTCAGATAGTGCCATTTATTGCCCCTGCACCCTTCCTTGGCAGAGTCCAGGCCAGGAACAGACAGGACCCCAGTCTCCAAAGGGTACACTAGAACTCCTCCATGACCCCAAATCCAGGGAAGGGCAAGGACGAGGGCCACGAAAAATAACAGGACCCGCAGGAAGAAGACAAAATAATGGAAAGGTGCAGTCGGGAGGTGGTGTGATTAAAAGAAAACTCTAAAGGAGAAAGGGCTGTCTCCCCCTCCCTCCGTGCAGCCCTCCTACAGAAGAGCCAGGCTGCTCATTCCTCCCAAGCACCCAGGGTGGGCGGCAAGAGAAAAGGGGGCCGGAGGCCGGTCTCTCAGTCGTGGGCTCCGTCCTCTCTCTGGCTCCCCGAGGCTCTCCAAGAACCAGGGGGTCAGGCCAGGCCAAGGACAGGTGGCAGGGGGTATGGCGGGGCGCAGGAGGGCCCCGGCGGGCCGCCGCCTCTGCACCGCGCGCAGACCATGGGAACCATGTGGCGTCGCAGGGGAGATGATGAGGCCGCCACCGGCCGTCGTGCCCCTGTCCGTCCCTCTCTGGGTCTCTCTGGTCCGGGTCTCTCTGGTCCAAGTCTCTCCGGTGTCAGGGTCCTGCGCCATCCTCCCCGCCAAGCCCGAGGGGCCCTGCCCGCCCCCCACCCCCCCGGGCCTCCGCCCCTACCGGCCCTCTCCACCGCGGCACTCGCTGCAGCGCCCACCAGCTGCCTCATCATCATCGTCCTTGTCGTCCTCCCCGCCCGCCCCCGCCCGGTAGTAGCTCTGTCCGCAGTGGCTGCAGACCGACGGCGCACCCACGGCGTGCACCTTCTTGTGTCTCCGCAGTGCCGCGCCCTGCACGAAGCCCTCGCCGCATTCCACACAGATATGTGCGGGCTCCTCGCCCCCCGCCGCCCCAAGCCCGTCCCCGTGCTGGGCGCGCTGGTGGGCCAAGAGCCCCGCCCCATGCCCGAAGCCCTTCCCACACTCCACGCACACGTACGGCTTGGGGGCCGGGGCACGCCGCGAGCGGGGCCCCGGAGCCTTGGCCCCCGTGCCCGCCATGGCTGCAGCTGCCGCGGCCCCCTCACCTGGTGCGCCCACCACAATGATGCCCTCGCCATCGCCCACCGGGATGGCAATATCGCCGTCCGCCGCCGCCGCCTCCTCGGGCGCCTTGGCCCGGCGCACGCTGGCCGCCAGCACCTTGGCCGCCACACCAGGGCCAGACAGCTCAGGGTGCAGCCGCAGGTGGCGCGCCAGGCTCTTGGGCTGGCTGAAGCCGCGGCCACAGCGCGGGCACACGAAGGGCTTGAGGCCGCTATGCGAGCGCCGGTGCTTGGCCAGACTCTTGCTCTGCGTGAAGCTGCGGCCGCAGTCGGGGCAGGCGTACGGCTTCTCACCCGTGTGGATACGCTGGTGCTGCATGAGGTTGGAGCTCCAGCTGAAACGCTTGCCGCATTCGGAGCAGGCATAGGGCTTCTCGCCCGTGTGGATGCGCCGGTGCTGCACCAGGTGCGAGCTCTGTGAGAAGGTCTTGCCGCAGTCGGCACACGCGTTGGGCCGCTCGCCCGTGTGCGTGCGTTGGTGCCGCGTCAGCTTGGACCAGTGACTGAAGCTCTTGCCACACTCGTTGCAGATGTAAGGTGCTGGTGGCCTCGGCCGGGGTGGGGGGCCAGCCGGGGGCGCCGACTGGGGCGGGGACAGCTTGGTCGGGGGCCAGCTGGGGACGTCGTCATCATCCATGATGAGGATGTCCACTAGAAGGCAAAAGGGCAGGAGAGGAGGAGAGTCAGAGAAGCCCTAGCTGCACACAGGGCCAGGAGCTTTGAGCCAGCCCTGCCACTTGTCACCTGCCACCTTCCACAGGGTGTGTGCACAAAGCCTTGGGCATCTCACACAGCCCTGCCCCCTCAGGGTCCCCTATGGCATCCACCTAGGAGGGCAGCTAGGTCGGGTCAGCATGAAGCCCTTACACAGACAGGCAGTCTGCAGATGCACCTGTCTCTCCATCTCTTCACCTGCCCCGTTTTCCTCAAAGCATCGCTCACTCCCTGGCATTTTACTGAACATTCATGTGGTCATTACCTACCCCTCAAGACTTTTTCCTACCCAGATGCTGCCCCCCACACCTGTTACAATGCCTGGGACATAGCAGGGACTCCAAAAATGTCTGGGAAATATACAGCATCAACATAAATGAACACAACACAGATGCAAGCTTAGGAAATGACACTAGGAGCCCAAGGCACCAGGGTGGGGCAGGGAGGGTCCAGGGAGAACTCCACTGGTGGGGACAGGGCGCTCACACCCTGGCCTAGGAACAAAGACAAGCCCAGGAGTGATGGCATCACACCTGGGCTCCAGGAAGGCTATCTTAGTGCAGGTGGAGAGGAGGAGAGGAAGGAGGAATGGGACTCGTTAATGGGATCACAGGCTGGCACTGGATCCCACCTGCCCCAATAACTGGGAGTGCAACCTCCACATTGTGGAGCCTCTGTTACAGACATCCTCAAATCTGTCCCTGGTCCCTGTCTGCCCAGTGCAGATAATAGAGGATCATGTGGCCCAGTCTCACCAGCTATGAGATGAGGATTCAGCCACATGCTGGCTGCCCTCGAAGCCTGTCCGGCATCTGCACCACACCTGGCCCTAAGTCATCTCCCAGGGTAAATGAGCGACGCGCTGCCCCCCAGCCTACTCAGCTCAGACTAGCCTGTGTGCACCTGGCTCCCCCAATCTGGCGGGGCCTGGGCCTCAGCTGGGAACTGCTGCATGTTGCCTGACGGCCCAGCGTGGCCCCCCATGGGTGCCCACAGCTTCCCTTCAACACATGCAGAAGCCAGGCCCAAAACACTCACACTGACCCAGGTAACAGAAATACGCAGAGGTGTTAGGATGTGCACCGAGGTTGGCACTGAGCACTTAAGCCTCAATGCATTTACATCCTGTCAGAGTGGTGCTTTGGAACTCGGGTCTTTACAGCACAGAACCCCAGGCACCAGAAGATGAATCACAACCTGGGAGAGGCAAAGCCATGAGCTACACAGCAGTATGGGTCTCAAACCAGCCACCCCGAGCCACCCCACAGCACCTTACACTAACGGAACACTCCTCCAAAAGGCCCAACCATCAGCATTAGAATCCTCAGGGAACTTGGAAACGCTCTTGCTTGGCTCCCCAGACCCATCCAGTCAGTAGCTCTAGGGCCGGGGACCAGGACTCATAAGAACCACCACTCAGAGGGAAGACTACTGAAGAGTGGCCTGTACTGGATATGGAATCACCTGGAGCAAAACTACACGGGGAGGAAATCAGGCAGGTGCAGGGCTTCGGAGGAACTGGCTTGGAGCCCATCTGGGGTCAGCATAAACCAAGAAAGCAAAGAGAAAAATAAAACAGACCTGGAAAGTGATATGCCCTGGGTGGCATGGTAGGGAAATAAGCCTCATCACCCCACTCATCACCAGTGCTCACACTCCTTTCATGAAAATAGTTTTGTTGAGGATCCCTGGGTGGCTCAGTGGTTTAGCGCCTGCCTTTAACCCAGGGCATGATCCTGGAGTCCTGGGATCAAGTCCCACATCAGGCTCCTTGCATGAAGCCTGCTTCTCCCTCTGCCTGTGTCTCTGCCTCCTCCTCTCTCTCTCTCTCTCTCTCTCTCTCTCTCTCTGTGTGTGTGTCTCTCATGAATAAATAAATAAAATATTTTAAAAAGAAAATAGTTTTGTTTTCAAAGTTGTCAAGAAAATTAACAACAGACTGTGTTCACTACCACTTGTCAGCCAGGAAGAATATTTACACAGTTGCCATGTGAATTGGTACCACCAAAGCTCCAGAGACCCAGGGAACCCATTCAGGGCACATCCTCCCCTCCCCCCACCCCGACCCCCACAGCAGCAAATGGCTGCATCAGTTGGAGCCAGAGGCCTGGGTGCCTGGTCTAGGATCAGGGAGAGGGATCCAGACAGGCGACGGGAAATGCCTGGGGTAGAGGGGGCAGCTGGGCTGGGGACACCTCATGCTATTCCACCAGGCCTGTGTCTGGTCCACCATGTGTACTACTACTTTTTAAGCAGGTGCTACACAAACTGCTAAGTGGAGGTGGTTTCCTGGCCCTCCACAGACTTTCGGGGCTCCAGGTCTCTGCTTCCAAGCATTGGTAGGCTCTGGGCTTGGTGGTGATGGAGAAGAGCTGGCCTCCTGCTCAGGCAGGCAGGCAGTCAGCAGCTTCCCTGTGGCCCGTCCCTTCCTCACAGGGGAGACAAGGCTAGGGACCTTTCTGCCTCACGGTGTTAGCACTCAAAGGGTTCAAGGAACTGCTGCAGAGAGGAGCCCAGTGACCACGAGCACAAAGCCTTGACTCAACAGAAACAAGAGTAACTGCCCTTCAAGGAGGAGGGAGGGGGTTCCCTGGCACTCTCATGCTGGCAGGAGGGGCTCCCCACCGCACTCTCACTGTCCTCTTACTCAGGGTGGGCCCAGCTCCAGGGTTCCCACCACAGAGCCCCTCGAACTGAACTTCTGAAGCTGAACGGGAATATGGTTTAATTCCACGTTAGCCCTTCTGTTGCAAAATACATGACAGGGAGAGACCGCTGAGCGCCCGTCCGTCCGCCGCCACCCACTCCGGACACAGAGCATCCAGTCATGGATAAAAATGAGCTGGTGCAGAAGGCCAAACTGGCCGAGCAGGCTGAGTGATATGATGACATGGCAGCCTGCATGAAGTCTGTAACTGAGCAAGGAGCTGAATTATCCAATGAGGAGAGGAATCTTCTCTCAGTTGCTTATAAAAATGTTGTAGGAGCCCGTAGGTCATCTTGGAGGGTCGTCTCAAGTATTGAGCAAAAGACGGAAGGTGCTGAGAAAAAACAGCAGATGGCTCGAGAATACAGAGAGAAAATTGAGACCGAGCTAAGAGATATCTGCAATGATGTACTGTCTCTTTTGGAAAAGTTTTTGATCCCCAATGCTTCACAAGCAGAGAGCAAAGTCTTCTATTTGAAAATGAAAGGAGACTACTACCGTTACTTGGCCGAAGTTGCTGCTGGTGATGACAAGAAAGGGATTGTGGATCAGTCACAACAAGCATACCAAGAAGCTTTTGAAATCAGCAAAAAGGAAATGCAACCAACACATCCTATCAGATTGGGTCTGGCCCTTAACTTCTCTGTGTTCTATTATGAAATTCTGAACTCCCCGGAGAAAGCCTGCTCTCTTGCAAAGACAGCTTTTGATGAAGCCATTGCTGAACTTGATACATTAAGTGAAGAGTCATACAAAGACAGCACGCTAATAATGCAATTACTGAGAGACAACTTGACATTGTGGACATCGGACACCCAAGGAGACGAAGCTGAAGCAGAAGGAGGGGAAAATTAACCGGCCTTCCAACTTTTGTCTGCCTCATTCTAAAATTTACACAGTAGACCATTTGTCATTCATGCTGTCCCACAAATAGTTTTTTTTTTTGTTTACGATTTATGACAGGTTTATGTTACTTCTATTTGAATTTCTATATTTCCCATGTGGTTTTTATGTTGAATATTAGGGGAGTAGAGCCAGTTAACATTTAGGGAGTTATCTGTTTTCATCTTGAGGTGGCCAATATGGGGATGTGGAATTTTTATACTAGTTATAAATGTTTGGCATAGTACTTTTGGTACATTGTGGCTTCACAAGGGCCAGTGTTAAAACTGCTTCCATGTCTAAGCAAAGAAAACTGCCTACATATTGGTTTGTCCTGGTGGGGAGTAAAAGGGATAATTGGTTCCAGATACAGGTGTAGTTATTGTGGATACTTTAAGGTTTAGAGCACTTACAAGGCTGTAGTAGAAACGGGTATCCCATAGATAAGACATGTGAACCACAAATATCTGTGGAATACTCATTCTCAATGTGCACACCTTTGACTACAGTTGCAGAAGTGTTCCTTTAGTTGTGACCCAATTTACTCTGGATAAGGGCAGAAACGGTTCACATTCCATTATTTGTAAAGTTACCTGCTGTTTGCTTTCATTATTTTTGCTACACTCCTTTTATTTGTATTTAAATGTTTTAGACAACCTAAGAACAAATGTACAAGATGCAGTAAAAATGAATTGCTTGATATCCATTACTTTATGTATATCAAGCATAGCAGCAAAACAAAAATCCCATGTATTTAACTTTTTTTTTTAGGGTTTTTTTTGTTTGTTTTGTTTTGGTTTTTTGCTTTTGTGATTCTTTTTTTTTTTTTTTTTTTTTGATACTTGCCTAACATGCATGTGCTGTAAAAATAGTTAACAGGGAAATAACTTGAGATGATGGCTAGCTTTGTTTAATGTCTTATGAAATTTTCATGAACAATCCAAGCATAATTGTTAAGAACACGTGTATTAAGTTCATGTAAGTGAAATAAAAGTTTTATGAATGGACTTTTCAAAAAAAAAAAAAAAATACATGACAGGTTCAGAAAGCCCCAGGTGGAATGCAAAGCCAGCCGTGGTAAATAGAAACCACCCAGGTGAAGACCCAGAACCTGACCACCCACCAGGAAGCCCCTCCTCCCATCCACCTCCCCCCCCCCACCCTGCACGCCCCTTCCCTGGGCTCTGGTGCCCACAGGCACACCCCCAGATGCTACAGGGTGGCCCTGGTCCGTTACTTTTTCATTCAGGGTGTCTGAAAGTCTCTTTTCATCCAGATTCCCCTGTGCCTTGCCAGTCCACCTGGCCTCTGCCCGCTGCATGTGGTTTGGGGGATGCCTCTGTGCCCG